AAAACTTGTAATATACAATGTGCATGGGAAACGGAAACAAAATTTGACATAAGATATTAAACAATCATCGTATTATACAAAAGATAGTGTCCATTCTCCAAGCAGGACATTCCGTTTGAAAATAACTGCTTGTAAGATAGTCTGCAAAAACTTATATGATCAGCCCCCGATAATCATATTTTTTAAAGTTCATATGGGGGTGAATGAAATAATTATTTTCTCATATAGCACATTAAAAATCATCGGCCAAGTCAACGTGTCGGTCAAGTACAAAGCAGGTTATATTCTCCGGACATCGGCAAGTTATTTTCAAGTTATAGTCCATGATATCGCGGCAATCAAAAAGTATAAACTCCAAGTTACCAAGACAAACATGACATTACTAACAAACTAGCAAAATGCATATTATATAAGTAATTTTTGTACTCAGTTTATTTTCAAATTTGCAAAAGTATCATACTCGTTAAAAGTAAACAACAACACATATCGTTTTCTTGGTGATCTTTGTTCGTTAAATAATCAATAATTTTCTAAATATACTGCCGAAATTTACCAAAAGGAACACTTATTTTAAATAAATCAAATATAAACGGCAATAACTGTCCATTCCTAGATTTAGATATTTCAGTTTTACATAAGAAACTCTACAAAAAAATTTACGACAAAAGGGACGATTTTTCTTTCCCTATTGTTATTTTTTTCTTTTTGGATGGTGATGTTCTTTATGCACCATCTTACGGTGTTTATATATCACAACTCATTCGATATGCCCGTGTCTATTGTGACGTTTTGGATTTCAATGAACGTAATCTTCGTAATTACTGATACGTTATTAAGTCTGGGGTTTCGTTACAACCAATTACTTAAAATTTTTGCTAAATTTATCCATATAGATACAAAGATTTGGTTTGGAGGTTTGGCTGTACCTGTAGAAAACTTATTTCAAACAGAATGTCACATCCTTATTTTTACGGTGATGTTGTTTACCGAGCACGGAAATTTAGATACGATCCAGGTAAACATATCGATCCTTTAAATAAACCTATTCTAAAAGATTACCAATTCAGCACTGTAATTAGATCTTCGAATATTGTTTTATTGGTAAAAATATCAATTTTCTTATCAGTAAATTAAAACCAATCTAAATATCATTGTTGTATATATATGCACATTCACAATCTGTCGATACCCGTAATTTGACATTGCACAAGGTCATGTCTCTACACTTAATCTATTGGATAATGGACATCTTGGATGTGTACTGATTGATATTTTACTCTTAGATACATGATTTTTTGTATTAGTTGTTATTAGCTTTGGACTAGCTGTCAGTAACTGCGAGTACTCTCATACCTGTACTTGGTGTCTTTTTTTGTGTGTGGATGTATAAATACCCTGCCACGTCCGGTCTGTGTTTTTGTTATTTGTTTTCTGCTTTGTATCGATCTAATGAGTTATTAAATCCCTTTTCAACTGATTTTTATAGTTTGTTCATATGTTGTGCTGTTACACTACACTGTCCCAGGTTAGTGGAGGGTTGGGCGCGAGCATAAATGTTTAACCCTGTCATATTTTGTATGTGTCTGTCCCAAGTCGGGAGCCTTTAATTCAGTGGTTGTCGTTTCTTGCTGTATATCATATTTGTTTTTCGTTCATTGTTTTGTACATAGATAAGGCCATTAGTTTTCTCGTTTGATTTGTTTTACATTTGTCATTTCGGGACATGTATGGAATTGCTCATTGTTGAAGGCCGTACGGTGACCTATTGTTGTTAATTTCTATGCCATTTGGTCTCTGATGGAGTATTGTCTCATATATAGGCAATTATACCACATCTTCTTATTTTTATATAATTTAATTTTGATGTAACACGTCTTCTGATTGGCTGAAGGATTTTGTCTATCAGCTCATTGACATAATTTTGTCATATGACCGTTACGTCATCAACGTTTTTTTTTCATAATTTACTCCTTAAAAATTAAATTTAGAATTAAATTATAAGGAATGACTGTAATATTTTTTCTTTCTATTCGAAATAACATAAAAAAATGTGTTGCACACTTTTGAATAACCGCTATGCAGGTTTTTTCAGTGTGCACCACATTTTTTAGGTTATTTCTGCAGACAGAAAAAATATTATAGTCATTCCTTAAACAAATTATTTTTTCCCCTCATCGAACATTTTGTTGATAGATGGGACAATACACAAAAAAGTTTTTGCCTGTACGTTATTTCAAGAAATTTGACATTTTAAAGCAAAATGAATGATCTTCACCCCCTTTTATACAGAGGGAACATAATCTTTTTTTCAAGTGTTGGCCCGGTGTTTACTCTTTTCAATATTTAGATTACTATTAATTAATGTGTTTTTAAATTTTCTGTACGTTCTAATTATAAATAAGAAGGTGTGGTATGAGTGCCAATGAGACAACTCTCCATCCAAGTCAAAATGTGTAAAAGTAAACAATTATAGGTCAAAGTACGGCCTTCAACACGGAGCCTTGACTCGTGCACTGAACAGCAAGCTATAAAGGGCCCCATAATGACTAGTGTAAAACAATTCAAACAGGAAAACCAACGGTCTAATCTATATAAAATAAAATGCTTCGCTGAGCGCAGCTGTATACGACCGCAGAGGTCCAACCCTGAACAGTTGGGGCAAAAATGGACACAATATTCGCGCTTGATACCGGTCTGAATTTGGATTGTAATTAGATATTTGACACATAATAGGTTTCTGACACCGAATAACTGTAGTCAAAGAACTTAGAATTGGTTATATGATTTGAATTTATATTCATTTTTTTGCTTTTGTGCAATACACTATGCTGTTGCGAAATTGACCCCCCCCCCCAAAAAAAAGAAATAATATTTGAAGAAATTTTCTTTTTAATTTCTGAAATCTGAAATGAAAAAAAAATTGCCCCTATAATTTCTTTTTTACCCCCCCCCCCCCCCCCCCCCCTAAATTTTTTTTCACCTCCCCCCCTTTTCCAAAAAAAAATTCTTTCCCTCAAGATATGGATATGGTCATAATCTCAATTCAAATTTCCAATGGAGTTTGCAACCATAATTACCAATTTAAATACATCATAAAAGTTTTAAAATAGAAAAAAAAATCCACCCCAAATTTTTTGAACCCCCTTATGATCCATCACCTCCAAACTCAATCCCAGCCTTCCCTTTGTGGTATGGTACCTTGCAGTACAATTTCAGAGAGATCCATACACTTGAACACAAATTATTGTCTGGAAACTAGAAAAATGCTTGTTTTTGGCCCCAAATTCCTAAACGTTCAGGGCAATTACCCCCAAACTCAAATCCAGCTTTCCCTTTGTGATATGGAACCTTGTAGTACAATTTCATAAAGATCCATACACTTACACACAAGTTATTGTCCTGAAACTAGAAAAATGCTTGTTTTTTGCCCCTTTTTTGCCCCTAATTCCTAAAATTTTGAGGCAATTACCCCCAAAATCCATCACAGCCTTCCCTATGTAGGATGGTACCTTGCAGTACAATTTCAGAGAGATCCATACACTTGAACACAAGTTATTGTCTGGAAACTAGAAAAATGCTTATTTTTGGCCCCTTATTCCTAAACATTTTGGGGCAATTAACCCCAAACTCAATTCCAGCTTTCCCTTTGTGATATGGAACCTTGTAGTACAATTTAAGACAGATCCATACACTTACACAAAAGTTATTGTCATGAAACTAGAAAAATGCTTGTTTTTTGCCCCATTTTTGGCCCCTAATTCCTAAAATTTTGAGGCAATTACCCCAAAAATCAATCCCAGCATTTCCTTTGTGATATGGAACCTTGTGGTACAATGTCAGAGAGATCCATACACTAACACACAAGTTATTGTCTGGAAGTTACAAAAATGCTTATTTCTGGCCCCTTTTTGGACCCTAATTCCTTAACTGTTGGTACCATAACTCCCAAAATCAATCTCAACCTTCCTTTTGTGGTATTGAACCTTATCATGGGTAAAATTTCATAGAGATCCATTCACTTAAACTAAAGTTAGAGTGCGAAAACCAATGTGTCTTCGCCGGACGACGACGAGACGACGACGACGACGCCAACGTCATACCAATATACGACCGCAAAATTTGTTTGCGGTCGTATAAAAACGAGAAACGAGAAACACTTAAGAACCACATTCAACAAGCGACAACCACTGACACAGGTTCATGACTTAGGACAGGTGCAAGTCAATATAATTAAAATATAATTGAATTGGTTCTAAGTTTGTTTCCTATAGGGTTATTTGGTTATTAAAAAAGACTGTTTTCGAGAAATTTATATATCTTTCGGCTAATTTCTCTGCATAGATTTAATCATTTTGTTTTTTTGAAAATATTTTAATTTTCCCATACATGATTCAACCCTATTTTTCAAAGAGCATTTTTGTATTTTGCAGCAAAACCAATATGTAAATTCAAACTCATTTATAGGCATTTGAAGCATATTAACTTTCTCCTTTTGCATTATTCAAATATTTGCCGCTGGACATTGATCAACAATCAGTCAACTTATCAATTGCCATTTGTTCGATTGATCATTATTGTTTTTTCAACAATCTATCGCTTATTTATTGATTGGTTAGTTAATTGAATGATTGATTGATTGATTGATTTATATTCAACATACTGTAGAATAGAATAGAATAGAATAGGCTATTTTTTTTTTAAATGTTTTTTAGTTTACCATATCCCTTGAAGAGAATGAAAGCATTTTTGTTTCAATTTAAAAATGGGGTAAAATAATTAGCCGTTCAAATGAAAATATACTATATGGTATGGGTTTTTTAACATTGTTGAAAGCCATACGGTGATGTGTGGTTGTTTATATCTTTGTCCTTAGGTTTTTCGTGGATAGTTTTCAGTTATACAGAAATTCCGGTATATAAAACCGCATCCTATACCGATATTGAGTTTGAAAAAAATTACGAAAAACCGTGTAACAAATTTTGGAAACCCCAATTTGACTACCTAAACACATTCAAGATGGCGGACCAATTGATTGCTCGACATTATGTTTACCAAATGTAAATTTACAATATTAATGTTATTTTAAAATAATCACTTATTGGTATTTTGCGATAATAATTTTCCGGCAGTTCTTAATGAACTGTCGATCTTTGAAATGCAATACTAATTCGCTCATCGATAATTTCAGGTGATGTGAGTACGCGGTCCAGATTGCCTTCGTGTGGAATCGAATAGTACAAAGGATTTCAGCATAAATTAAACTATACTAATAAGTTTAATCGACAAGTAATAGTTTAAAGAAATGGCGGACACAACAAGCACACGTAGACGGGTGAAATTGTACATGTTAAACGAAGAACGTCAATGGGATGACCAAGGCACCGGGCATGTGTCGTCCATTTTTGTTGAAAGATTGAAAGGAATGTCACTTCAAGTCCGATCTGAAACGGATGGTTAGTTACTCATTCTTCATCATTAGATCACTGTAAACTTGTATTCATTGACATTTCTATACACTATATCGTTTATTCCAATTAAGCCACCTCAGGGGTCAATGACATTAAGATACAATCATCATGATCATAGTACAGTTTCATCAACATGCACAAATTTTAATCTATTTAACAAAATTAAAAATCAACATGTATGATATGACGCAGGTACTTGATAGTCCAAATAATTGTCAACTTCAAAGGCTGTTTTTTTTATTCTGGATTTGACACCTTCCTGTGTTACAGGGAAAAAAATATACCAAACTCCATTAAAACTGTCAATATCAACCAATGGAACAAATGGCAGGCATCTAGCAAAAAATAAAAAAAAAAACAATGTACAAGTCATATTATTTTGACTTTAAACTTTTATTATTTAGCCCCTGAGGGTTGATGATATTTGACAAAAGAATGTTTAGTGTTTGTTTTACTTACCATCATGAATTTCTAAAAACTTTTTTGGCAGATAAACCAATCTGTTAGAAATGGTATGCTCCTTTGTGATGTAAACAGATCCTTTTCATGTTTGGGAAGATCCTCATAAATTGGTATTATTCCCATTTAATATAGTATTATACCCCAAAACTGGTATCAATTTTCAGTGATAACAGTCTGCACCAAACTGCTAGTCTGAAGACCAATATTCCTTCATTTTTCTAATGTGTCCCAAAAAAGTTTTGAAAATACTTCACTGACTAGTCTGGATAAAATTGAGAAGTCTTGGGCATCTAACTAGTGGCTAACGGTGCAGACTGTGATATTGATAATAATAAAAACTTTTGATTTCAAGATATTTACTGTCATGTCACAAACGTTCAGGTAAATGCATGACAACATTTTGCATAAAGATGACTGAAAGTTATTAGCCTTGAAAAAGTTGGATTTTTGCATTGAAGGCCATAATAACCTTTGTATTCAGGTCTCATTTGAAGTATGGTCTTAATTTGAGAAAATGTTGCCATTTATATAAATATTTGCGCGATGACAGCCATTATGCTGAAATACAAAATTCGATTTTCTATCATTGTAAACTGATACCTGATTTTTGGTATAAAACCCATAAATCGAAAAGTACCCATTATATGAGGATCTTCCCCTACCTGTTTTTGTCAATAAGACTTCAGTTAAAATTGTTGATCTTGTGAAATTATGACGATTTTCACAAAGCCTGAATAATATGGATTAGTGTTTTAACTCCACTGTGTGGTGAAATTAGAAGGTTTATATATTTTACATCCCTATTTCATGAAATTTGTAAAAGTTTTTTCCATGTACCATCAATTGCAGACTCTTTATTTTAATAATCCTAAAGGGCTACTTTAGAGTATTACTAGCCCCAAGACTAAAATTTTCAGTAACAATGGAACTTGTTTTATTTATTACAGGAACTGTTCTTTTGGAGTCGAAGATTCAGCCTGATACCATGTACCAGAAACAACAGGTAATGTCACATTTTGTGACAGGTTGTTGTTGGAAAATTGCTATCACCTTCTTTCTTTCATCAAACATTAAAATAAAACAGAGAAGAGCTCATGCATGATGGTTATATAATATGCTGGTTTAAAGTGGCTAAGACCATAACATTTAATATATAAAATTTGAAATTTCTCAGTAGGATGTATAACTGACAGCATGTGAAGTTGTTGTTTTACACACCATGACTGACATATTTATATACATTTTAGGAAACCTTGATAGTATGGTCAGAAGCAGCTAATTATGACTTGGCTTTAAGTTTCCAGGAACAAGCTGGTTGCCTTGAGATTTGGAGGAAAATTTGTCAGGTAAATCATCTCTCATTTCAGTTTTAAATATGCAGTCTCTAAATGAGAGTTATATAGCTTGTTACATATATTTGGCTTAATACAAATTCTAACTAGTTAAGTTTACCTGTCTAAAAATCTCTGAACACTTTTGTAAATAACTTTTCTTTTCCTTCACAAGTTCAAAATAGTGCAAGTTAAGCAAACATTTTTATTCCATTGCCATAGGCAATGGGGGCATTAAGTGTTGCCCTTGACCTTCCATCCGTCTTTCCTTCCCATTTTTGTTTCTGCACTTTTAACAAGTTTTCCTCGTCCAAATTTTATGAAACTCAATGTTAAGAACCACAACACTCAGACTAAGTTCGGTCAGTGAGTCATTTACCGTTCTAGAGTTATGCCCCTTTTTAACTTGAAAAATTGTGAAGCTTAAGCAGAGGCATTCATCAAAATTCTAAAAAAAAACAACAGAAATATTACATGAAGTGTGAAAATTTCACAGTCACTAATTTTGTAGTAGAAACGAATTTTAATAAAGCAGCTCAAAGAAAGCTTTTATGGTGTTAATTATAAATTTTTCAGGTACAAGGAAAAGATCCATCAGTGGACATTACACAAGATTGTTTAATTGACCATGGTGAACATGATGAAGAATTTCAGGAAGATAGCACTATAGAAGATGCCCCAGACGCTGCTCAGGAGATTGAGTTACCTCCCTGTGAACTAAGCAAACTAGAGGAGATATGGAACATATTTACTGAGTCGTCGATTCAATCTGCACCCATACGCAAAGAAAAACTCTCAATGGCCATTGAAAACAGCGGCTATATCAAAAAATTATTGGATCTGTTTCACATGTGTGAAGATTTAGATAACATGGAAGGACTTCATCATTTGTATGAAATATTTAAGAATATATTTTTATTGAACAGAAATGAATTATTTGAGATCATGTTTTCAGAGGAAACAATATTCGATGTGATAGGAGTGTTAGAACATCAGCCATCATCACCACAGCCAGCACAACACAGAACATATTTAAAGGAGACGGCTAAATTTAAACAAGTTGTGCCGATGACAAACAAGGAACTTTTAAATAAGATCCACCAGACATATCGTGTACAGTACATACAAGATGTCATCTTACCGACACCCTCAGTGTTCGAGGAGAATCATTTATCTTCATTAACTTCATTTATATTCTTTAACAAAGTGGAGATTGTCAGTATGATACAGGTTAGTATTATTGCAAAATATTTTTAAGGAGGGGGCATATAAGCTTCATCTATGGAAATTCCTTTTATTATACACCTTAATCTTACCCCAACTCTAGGAGTTGAGACTATTGCATTCACCTTATCTGTCCGACAAATATTTTGATCATCTTTTCGTCAGAATCACCATATTTAGTGAGCAGCTTGACCGTGATGAGTTGTCATGTGTGACCATTTCTTGGATTTGTCAGACACTTTATTCATTTTTGCTGATATTTGGATTTTGAAGTGAAAGAGGTATAACAATTGTTATTTGTAGACTGATATGTGAAGTTTATTAAATTTTGTCTTGATTTTGCAGGAAGATGAGAAGTTTTTATCATCACTGTTTACACAATTGACAAATGACGACACAGAGGAAGCTGTCAGAAGAGATTTAGTGCTATTTTTGAAAGAATTTTGTACATTTTCACAAACACTGCAACAAGATAGCAGAGAATCATTTTTCAAGGTATAGCACCCACCATGTGATTCAGTTAAAAATCTCTCTTGTTGGACGGTGTTGAGCATGTTGAGTGAATCACTGTAAAAACTAATGCTTTGATTCTGATTTATAACCCTGTCATATAATATCTATTATTAAATCATATATTAAGAGGAGATTTTTAGAGTAATTGCCCACAATCACCAGCATAAAAAGTCCTAACTGAGAGTTTTTTTTTTCCGGCAAAATCAATCGCCTTCTGTGCTCTGAAGTTTCAATATTACAGATTCTGATTGATTGCACTTGTCTTCAAATGGATAACTTATTTTACCATTTTTATGTCCCTGTTAACTGAATTGATTAAAAGTCTTGACATTGAAAAAGGAAGAGTGCACTTAAATGATATTATTCCAGTTTCTAACGGATGTCAATGACACGGCAATATAACAACACGAAAAAAAACAGCAAAAAAGACTTCTATTTAATTCGTTACATTCACCCTTCTTGTACAGTAGATGGACTTGTTTTCCTATTTCTGGCACCAGTGATAGAAAATTTATCAAACATAAAATTAAACATTTGTATGATTTCCAATGAAGATAGAGCTGTTACAATGTAAATACCAACATATAAATATAAAATAAAACAAACGTATAAAGCAATTGTAAAAAGAATACCAATAAAACCATTCTCCTTTTTGATTGTGTAATTGTTGTACAAGTTTTTTTTTTAATGAAAGTTGCTTTGATAATACTTCATGGTAAGCTGCAAATATGGCTAAGAAAATAAGAAAAATCTCTGAGTAGGTTATTCATGTTTTACAAAAAAAGACGGTTGGATACATCCTGCTGAAAATGAAGTGAGAGTACTTCGTCGTTTTTCATTGAACCCCCATATATAATCAGGAACTTTAAATTATCTGACCATTGAAATATAAATACAAGAAGTTTATTTTTGTTTCATTTTCTGTTTCTTTTCATTTCAGACATTGTCATCTTTTGGTGTTTTATCTGCTATAGAAGTCATATTAGTAAGTATCTGACTATCCATGTGTATATACATTGTACCACACACACATTTTCATAAAAGGTTTCTCCTTTAATACATTATGTAATATACATCAAAATTTGTAGTAATTAATGATAGGTTTGTGAACACTTCAATATTTGAAAAATATCATGGTTTTACAATGTTCAGCATTTATGTAAAATAATTTAGTTCATAAATTCACTGTGAATGGCTGTAATGGACTTTCTAATGGTAGGTGCTCACCCGGAGCGCAGAAGTTCGTCACCCCAATCCCAGGCCTGATCAAGCCAAAGATTTAAAAATTAGTATTTGCTGTTTCTCCAGCAAGGTTGTTGCATTTTAGAGCATTGGAAATGTGTCTGGGCAGGGTAGACCATGGTGACATGTCTTTCTTTGGCCTGTTACCTTGTGAATAAGCATACTAAAAATCTGGCTTAGCATTGTCTGTCTAGCGCAAAGCAGATCTCATATTCATATCTAATTTACATGTTATAATCCTGTATGCAGGTTATATTTGTCACCGGACTTTAAACACCAATCTATCACCATCACACCATAAAATCACTGCACCATTATCATTAGTTGACCATGACCTCATTTTCATGGTTCAAAGATGAGGAGTTTTTGTTTTGGTCAGTTTTTCAGTTACTATAGAAAGTAATTATAGTATTAACACATATAGTCAGAGATATGTAATAAATTGTATATTTTTATAATTTTTATACGCTCGTTTACGGGACGTATTATGGTATACCGTTGTCCGTCTGTCCGTCCGTCATCAACATGTTGGACATTAACTCAAAAACGCTTTAACCAATTTGCATAAAACTTTAGTGAATTGTTTATATCTATTGATGTGAGCTCCCTTTCGTTTTTTATAAATTTTAGATTTTACGTTTCCGAGTTATGGGGTTTTATTCTTTAAAAATAGGGGGATTTTCCAGTTTTTGGACATAACTCAAGAATGCTTTCACCAACTTGCAAGAAATTGTGGTGAATTGTTTACATCTATTGACATGAGCTCTCTTTCGATTTTTATATATTTTAGAATTTACGTTTCCGAGTTACAGGGTTTTATTCATAAAAAAGGGGGATTTTCCAGTTTTCGGACAAAAAATAAAAAATGCTTTCAGCAGTTCATATAAAACTTTGGTGAATTGTTTATATCTATTGATGTAAGCTCCGTTTAGAATTTTATAAATTTTACATTTTACATTTCTGAGTTATGAGGTTTTATTCATTAAAAAAGGGGGGATTTTCCAGTTTTTTTACAATAACTCCAAAATGCTGTCAGCAATTCTCATTAAACTTTGGTGAATTGTTTATCCATTGATGTAAGCTCCCTTTACATTTTCATAAATTTCTAATATGACATTGAGAATTAATTGAACTTTAATTGCTTATAGTCTGACAACAGATTTACTAAGTATTGCGCAACAGCACAGTGTATTGCACAACAGCAAGAAATCTTTAATTGAATATAAATTCAATTCATATAACCATTTTCAAGTTCTTTGACTACATTTATTCAGAAACCTATAATATGTCAAATATATAATACAATCCAAATTCAGACCTGTATCAAGCTTGTATATTGGTTCCATTTTTGCCCCAACTGTTCAGGGTTGGACCTCTGTGGGCATATCCAGCTGCGCTCAGCGAAGCAGTTTATTAAGGACTTGATGAGATATGTAATAATGTGTAAATTTCTTTCAATTTTAGGGACTGGACGATCCACAAATTAAATCAGCTGCAATAGATATATTTTCATACATTGTGGAGTTCAGTCCATCCACTGTCAGAGAATTCATAATGAAGGAAGGCCAAAAACAGGATGATGTAAGTTTGAATGACATGCTTTCTTTATAAAGGGTCAATTAAGAACAGGACGATGCAAGTTGGAGTGACAGACTTCCTTTATCAAGGGTCACTTAAAAACAAGAAGATTTAGTTTGAGTGTCAGACTTCCTATATAAAGGGTCACTTATAAACAGGACAATTTAGTTTTAGTGACAGACTTCCTTTATAAAGGGTAAATTTAAAAACAGGACAATTTGAGTTTGAATGATAGGCTTCCTTTACACAGGGTCAAATTTGATAGGGATCACAAAAGCAAGACCATGAACATTTATTCCAAAATCATTTCCTCCCTTTGAATTAAAGTTGTGATTGTTTTCTGCCAGAATTGGACAAATTTTAGGTTGATCTGATCTTAGTCCAATGTATATGACAATGGTGAGTTCATAGTGACAAAGAATTAAAGTTGTAGAAAGTGTAAGTTGTCTTTTAAGGGAAAGTAAAAAAACAAAAGCTTTAGCCATTTATGAAGGGACAGTCTTCTATATTAGATAGAACTGTTAGGCACTCGTCAATCATGTAAAGGAACAGTCTTCAACATTAGATGGGACTGTTAGGTACTCATCAATCATGTAAAGGGACAGTCTTCAACATTAGATGGAACTGTTAGGTACTCGTCAGTCATGTAAAGGGACAGTCTTCAACATTAGATGGAACTGTTAGGTACTTGTCAGTCATGTAAAGGGACAGTATTCAACATTTAGGTAAAACTGTTAGGTCCTAACAATGCCATGTGGGGAGGGGATTTTGTAGTCAGCTTCAATAAAACAAGAATGAGGACCATTTTTGGTTCTTAAACCTTAGTGAGATGTAAGCTCTTACCTAAATTTAAACCTTAGTGAGATGTAAGCTCTTACCTAGATTTAAACCTTTGTGAGATGTAAGCTCTTACCTAAATTTAAACCTTTGTGAGATGTAAGTTCTTACCTGAATTTAAACCTTTGTGAGATGTAAGCTCTTACCTGAATTTAAACCTTTGTGAGATGTAAGCTCTTACCTAAATTTAAACCTTTGTGAGATGTAAGCTCTTACCTTAACCCTTTCGCCGATGAGTCCCGGTTTACCGGGATTCACGCTTCAGATAGCTGACGATGAGTCCCGTTTTACCGGGATCGGAATACCTCTTTTATATGTCCCGCTCAAAACAGTGCAAACACAAGTTATCTTTCTTTGTTGAATACCCGGATGAAAGTGTAAACATGGCGCTTCCGTTTGTTGAAAACCGTGTCAAAATCAGAGGAAATTTACGGAATTTACGAGAATTTGAAATGAGGGAACATTTTTTTTGAAAGAATATGGAAGAATTGAAGCCAAACTAGTATACTTTTTTGACATAAAATGTTGTTTTATGTACAAAACACTTGGAATGGACATCGTTCAGTGTAAGGAATTTGTACAGCCTCATTAAATTTTTCAAAATTTTGCCGTTTTGGGTTAAAAGATTACGATTTTGGGTCAAAGAGCAGAATTTTGAGAATTCACCTACATAATGCCGAAAATTTGAAAATTTGAATATTTTATGAAGAAAAAATTATCAAAACATGAACAAAACTGTGAACATGGTGTAAGTGAATGAAATAAAGACACAAATAACTACAGACAAGTTTTTATTGACATTTATTATGAAGATCTCCCACTTGAGTAATAGTAGCCAGGGAAGCCATCGTCTCAGAGTAGCTTCTGTCTGGGCAGCTATCGGTGAAAGGGTTAATTTAAACATTTGTGAGATGTAATCTCTTACCTGAATTTAAAACTTTGTGAGATGTAAGCTCTTACCTAAATTTAAACCTTTGTGAGATGTAAGCTCTTACTTAGATTAAATGATGTTGTTTTGTATTGTAGGATGATTTACTGGTTAATCTGGTGATCGATCAGATGATCAATGATCCGGATCCAGGTAAGTTGACGCCAAAAATCATTCATCATAACACATTGTCATTTTGGGCTATCTTAGTGCCCAGTTCTGTTTGTAAATATTTTAGCCAGTGAAATCAAAATTGTTTGTAACAACTTGACTGCACCACTAGATAATCTTCGTAAGGTTTTCTTGTGACCAAAAGCCAAATAGATCAAACATTTGGGAGGTAGTACAATTATATAATTTATAAATTTTGTTAATTTAATGTGATACTGTAATTAAAGGAAGAGTCTATGTTTCTTTAGAGAGAGTTCATATTTTCTTATCACACATCCCTTTTTATCCAAGATAATGTGATTTTATTTGTTGTAAATCTGAATTTCAAATTCTCAACAAATTCTAAATTTTCTGGGAAATCTCAAAAATCAAAGGTCTCTGTGATTTATCAAAACCATTACTGAAACTCACAATCCATTTCACCCAATATCATTGAAAGTTTCCCTACAATACAGGTTATTTATTTATATTTACATAAAATTATGTTGGTATAACTAATTAGAAGTTTAAAGAAGGGTGAAATGTAACAAAAATTATTTTCAAACTAGCTTTACCTGTCCAGTAATAAAGTAGACTTTTTACTTTCTGATCTTGAATTTCTTTTATGGAGAAGTTTTTCAGAGATTTTGTTTATTTCCAGAATTGTACTTGTTGTTTTAAATGCTAATGCTTTATGTTGTAGAACTGGGAGGTGCATTACAGTTGATGGGTGTTCTAAAACTACTGATAGACCCAGAAAACATGATAGCTACATCAAATGTAAGCCTAAATGCTTACTACTTCAATGTATGTTTGTCTTCATTCTAAGTCATTCTAGAATAACTGAACAAAGCTAGGTGAAAATTCTCTCTTTATCTACTTGAAGTAAAATATTCATGTAGGTAAGACTAAAGAGATATCACACAAAGCCGTATAAACTTCTTTTTATATTTTTTAATTGCCATAAATTTTGTTGCTATTGACAAAGATGAAATACCACAGTTACAAGGCTGATTTAATCATATCTGCTCCAGTTATAATTAAATGGCTACAATGTACATGTATAAAGTTTTGCCATTTTGGAGCCAGAAATTTGTTTATTAGCATAGTGTGGTTGTTTTAAATGTTTTTGATGAAAGTCTGATTCATTTTATAGCCTTTTCAACCCTACAAATGTCCAGAAAGGTGGATTATTTAACATTGAAAAGTTACATGAATTTCCAGACAAAATCCTTATTTAAGTAAATATTTTACAAGCAAGGCATCTGCTCAGTTATTCTAGAAAAATTCTTGTCACTAAAATATTTTGTGTAACATCATCAAAAAGTTCTTACAGTATCATGTCTTATCATCATAACATTCTTATATTGTTGATTTATTTAAATATGTGGAATACCTATAACTCGGAAGGGGGGTTACGTCTACCATTAATTATATACTGAAGGAAAGAAAAATTTTTATTTACTTTTTGTGGGAGGAAATGATAAAAGAAAATTAGAACCCTGGAAATCGCATCTCCCAACCAAAATGAATAATTAATGAAAATTAATTAATCCAGTTTTGTCATTTTCCGCAAAAAGAAAAAAATCTGATTTAAGAGGGGGCAAAGTTATTTCTCACTAATCTGAGTGAATTTGATAATTGCATTAATCATTACTTTAAGGGCTGTTTCATTAAAATTTACATGGTACCCAGGGAAGGCACTTTAAAAAATGGGGTAACCACCTATAGAGGTATATTAAAATTTCACTTACATTTCCATTATACAAAAAAAAACATAGATGACACCCACCCATAGTTGAGATTTGGAAGTGCCTTACCTGGGTCCCATGTATGTTTTTATGGAACAGCCCTTAATATTATCCACATATACTAAAATAAATTTCAACTCAACAAATAGAAGGGTTTATTTGTGTTGAAAGTAAAAAAATCTTGTTTTAACTGCTTTTAAAAATGTATCAACCAGTAGACCAAACTTTGAACCAATCATTCATACGGGTTTATCTGATAATTATGCTCGCCAACAAACATGGCTGTCAAAACTATTTAGAGAACAAACATGAACAATTTTATATGTGAACAATGTCAAATGGGAAATTTTACTTAATTGTACCTCTGACAGCTAATTCAAAACAGAATAATGAATTTTTTATTCAAGAGTCTGCAGTCAATACGTTTCTTTGTTGTATTTGTAAACTACCACATGTTTTTATCTCCAGTTTGTACATTTCCCTTTGATCTTACTGCCTAATATTTTTTATATCATGGACAGGACTTGATACTCGAAAAAGGCAATGACGTCATGTATCAGTGGAGCAACGTGCTCAAGTCCACCCGTGTCAATTTATCAATGAAATGCATGAGACTTCATTCATGCAATTGAACAACTATCCCAATGTTTTGTACACGTAAAAGTAGTTATCATACTAACTAGTTCATTTTCCTTCATATTCTCAACCAATAAAACATACAGTTAAGACAAATTGCTGATAAAAAGAATAATGTCATGTTATTTTTTGATAGTGACTTCATCAGCTCACATATCAGCTTCCCTTGCGGGCTTGCTTGATATTCTTGCTGATAAAGTCCGTATCAAAATAAAAAATGCCATTATTTTATATGTCTTGCATTGAAAGGGTTTATGATTATCTGAATGTTTGTTTTTGGTTGGGTTGCATGAAAAATTGCACACCTATTGAAGTGGTGCAAATTCCCATCATGGAATTATATAAATTTATCTATATTACCATATACTTTAAATTCAGAAATTATTGTGAGGTTTTTATCAATGCGAGTGGATGAAGATCACAATAATAAGAACTCGCATTCTGATATCTGCTACTTATATCTGTATGCAGATTTTCCTGAAATCGCAATGATTAATGTCGCATTTTAGTCCATTCTTCAAAAATAGCAATTATAAATGCACACAATAATTTCTGAATTTACAGTATTTATGAATTCATTATAGGCTATTTTCCATTGTTTAAGAACAATTATGTGCAACCCGGCCATTTGAATCTTTGGTCCATTTTTAAAAAGAAACATGAATTAAAGGAGTCATAAAGGGTGTGGGATATGCTGTGTTTTTATACGCCCGTTTACAGGACGTATTATGGTATTCCGTTGTCTGTCTGTCATCAACATGTTGGACAATAACTCAAAAACGCTTTAACCAATTTGCATGAAACTTTAGTGAATTGTTTATATCTATTGATGTGAGCTCCCTTTCGTTTTTTATAAATTTCAGATTTTAAGTTTCCGAGTTATGGGGTTTTATTCGTTAAAAAAGGAGTATTTTCCTGTTTTCGGACAACAACTCAAAATCACTTTCACCAATTTGTAAGAAACTTTGGTGAATTGTTTATATTGATTGAAATGAGCTCCCTTACGATTTTTATAAATTTTAGATTTTACTTTGCTGAGTTGTGGGGTTTTATTCATTAAAAAAAGGGGGATTTTCCAGTTTTCGGACAATAACTCAAAAATGCTTTCAGCAGTTTTCATGAAACGGTGGTGAATTGTTTATATCTATTGACGTAAGCTCCCTTTCGATTTTTATAAATTTTAGATTTTACGTTTCCGAGTTATGGGATTTTATTCATAAAAAAGGGGTGATTTTCCAGTTTACGTACAATATCTTTAAAGTGCTTTGAGCAGTTTTCATGAAACTTTGGTGACTGGTTTATATCTATTAAGACAAACCTCCCTTTAGTTTTTCATAAATTTCTGATATGACATTGAGAAGTTATTGAACTTTATTCTTTGAAAAAGCAACGGCGTATCATGCACTCATGGTGCAGCTGTTTATTGTAAAATTTTATGATCAACGCATTGCCACAAAAAAAGAAAAAAGAAAAAAAAGACTTCTACTCATTATCATATGGCTTTTCGACAATATACAAGTGTCAATACAATATGTCAAACTCTTATTTGCCAAGAGTTGATTGGTTGATATTTTTTTTTGTCTGTTACAAACATGCTTGTTACCTACAGAAGGACACAAAGAGATTTACTAGTGTTCTTCTTTATTTACAGAAAACCGAGAAGTCTGAATTCTTAGTGTTCTTCTACAAACACAGCATGCATGTGTTAACGGCACCATTGTATGCCAACACATCAGAGGGACGCTTAAGCAAAGGTATGTAAATTGTGTATGTGGTGATAAATCTCAGAACAATGCCAATTATATATATAAATTCCAACTAAAATAATTTTTCCATAATTGTAATGAATTTAGAATGTATTTTACTTCTTGTCTCAACAGTGCTTAAAATTTCCGATGCAGTTAGAAACATTGAACAGGCTAGTTCTTTACCTTAAAAAAAACAGAAACTGTTGTGTTTATATTTCTGTTTATTATGTGTTCAAAACTACATTTTTAGGAATAGATTGTTTTAAAAAAATCTTTGGCTGCTGGATGGGAAGTAAACAAGACTAAATCATTCAACAAACTTACATGTGACTTATTTAAAAGAAATTTGTTATGCCCCCGCCGTATCGGTGGGGGCATTAAGTTTTACCCTTGTCTGTCTGTACGTACGTACGTACGTCCAAAATTGGTTTCCGTTCTCTAACATGAATTGCCTCAACCAAATGTTATGAAACTTATACACAATGCTTATTACCACAAAACACAGATCAAGTTTGAATTTTGGTGGCGTCACTCTAACCGTTCTAGAGTTATGCTCCTTTTTAAATGGAAAAATTGCAAAATTTTTAGTTTCCGTTCTCTAACTTTAGTTAGCCTCAACCAAATGTTATGAGACTTACACACAATGCTTATTACCACAAAACTCAGATCAAGTTCAAATTTGGGTAGCGTCGCTTTACCGTTCTTTAGTTATGTCCCTTTATAACTAAATGATATGCAAGCGGGGGCATCATCTGTGTCCACATGTGGACACTATCCACATTTATTTTTGTATAATTTAAAAAGTGTTCGTTTTTTAATTGATTCTTTGCAGTTATTTCCATGGGCAAGATAAAAAACTATTAAAAATGTTGTTTTGTAGATGACTTCCAGTCAGCACAGCTACAATCTCTGATCTTAGAGCTGTTAACATTTTGTATAGAGCACCATACATTCCACATCAAAAACTACATTATAAGTAAAGATTTATTAAGAAGAGTTTTACTGTTGTTAAAGTCACGTCACAGGTTTCTGGCATTATGTAAGTAAATCATTTATAAAGAATAGTTTTTTCTGTTGTTCAAGTTGTAGCACAGGTTACTGGCATTATTAATTTAAAAATAGATTTATTAATTGATTTATTTATCTGATAATGGACTGGTTTTTGAAGGCATTGAATTAGACATGTGTTCACCCATATCAAATATTCTTTTATGCAATTGTAATATTTGTTTTAAACGCCACCTGTCATAGAAAAGTATTTGTTGAGGTACTTTTAGCTGGAACTGTGCTACATTTATAGATCATGGGTGTAGGAAATAGATTGCAATGAATTCATGAAAAAGATGTAGTAAAGAAAATGTAAACAAAATAATAAGTAATTAATTGCAAAATAAACTTTAAAAGCTAATTGGTACTTTAAAGGCATTCTGATCACTAATTAAAAGCTATTTTTCATAAACCTTTCAGAAAATATTATTGAAAGTGACAATGTTTATTTTCAGGTGCATTAAGATTTATGCGTAAAATTGTTGGTATTAAAGACGATTTTTACTACAGATATATCATCAAAGGAAGTTTATTTAAACCAATCGTAGAAGCTTTTCTAGATAATGGCACAAGATATAATCTCTTTAACTCTGCAATCATTGAATTATTTGAATTCATTAAAATGGTAAGACATTTTATTGATATATCGGTAAAGAAGTGATCATTTTATTGCATAAAATAATTTCATGGATTAACTTGAATTTTATGGACATGACTTTTTGCTTGATTTTACTAAGTGCAAAATCTTGCTAATAGTGTTATAAAGGCTGAATATTTTTCATTTCTGTGTGAATAATTAGTTTCAAACCGCACAGTCCAAATATTAAAGAACATGGAAGTACAAAATTTCAGAAATTTTCTATTAGAATTGAAATAATTCTATAATGCCATGCTTTATGTTTAGTCTAACATGGGTAGGCATTACTGTAAATTCAGAAATTATTGCAATTTCTGAAGAATGGACAAAAATGCAAGATTAATTATTGCCTTTTCAGGAAAATCTGCATATATATATGTATGAATCAGATATTAGAATGCAAGTTCTTATTATTGCGATAATCACCAAGTCGCATTATTTCCATAAATAATAAATAAAAACCTCGCAATAATTTCTGAATTTACAGTATATTTGTCAACATTTTACATATCACTAACTCTGTATACAGATATTGATAAATATAATGGAAACCTAGATGTTAAAATGAGCATAGAGCATGACATGATAGAATTATATCTTTATGATGAAAAAAAAGATATGGGCGAATTTACATGAATTCTGGTAAATCCATATAAATTGACCTGCTCTCCTTCATTTGGCAGTGAATAAAAGTGTCTTGAGAAGTAAAATCAGCAAGATGAAGATAATTCATGTTAAGATTATCTGGTATAAAGTCATTTCTAGTTTTCAGAGGGACCTCAGTGGCAGAGTGGTCTAAGTATTCGAACTTCTGTATCACTAGCCTGTCAACACCGAGGTTGTTAGTTCAAATCCTGCATGTGTCAGGTGCGCTCGACTCCAATCTTAATTAATTATCAGTTTCCTAACCAAAGGTCTTGGTTCTCTCCAGGCACTCCAGCTTCCTCCACCAATAAAAAATACCGCCACGAAATAGCACAACAGTGCCGAAAGTGGCGTTAAACACCAATCAATCAATCTAGTAGTCAGAATTACATGGTCCCTTATCTTAAAAAGAGCATGTAAACTATATTAATGATAGTATCTATACATTTGTTTGTTTTTTATAAGGATATCAAGTAATTTTATGTTCATAAAGTTTAATGGGTATGGTGTAATATTTAAGATATTAATTGATGATGTTAACTATACATATTTGTTTTTTTTTTTTCAGGAGGATATCAAGTCTCTCTGTGCTCACATAGTAGAAACACATATGAAAGAATTAGAGAGTGTTAATTATGTTAGCACATTTAATTCCCTCAAGATGAGATACGAACAACAACAAGATGGCCTCAAGGACAAATTATTTGATAGGTATGTTCACAAAGCACAGTATTCCAAAAGAGATTTTAAGGATGTACTTAGGTGAAATTAAAAAAATCTAGAATTTAAAATTGATACTATAAGTCAGAAGAGCACTAGTTAAGGAACAAAATAAACTAAAAATATTGATAGGTTATGGAGCTCCTTTTTGAGATATTTATTTTTTTTTTAAATGGCAGGAAAAGGCTGACTCAGACTTTTACCTTATTATTTGGGTCTCAAATCGAAAGAAAAGAAATCTAGAATATGCTTGAATTTTGGTAAATGACTTTTTATGAGCTATTGAAGTATTATATGAAAAGAAAAATTGGTGTTATGGGGCAAAATATTTTTCCCTGAATCGTAGGAAAAAAAACAAGGAGAGCGAACATCTGACAAAAATTCCTAATCCTGACCTAAGTACATCCTTAAAAAGAGCCTGTCATTTAATTGAAATAATTAAGGCTTGGGGAATAGGGCAAAGCAATAAGCCAGACTCTTTCCACAAAAATACATCAGAAGTCCGTGAAGAAGACCTTGAAAAAAATCTGGTTAGAAATAAGGAATTTGTCCAAAAATTCCCTAGAAGCCTTAGAATCATGATTTGAAATGAAAGATTTGTAATAATAAATGTTGTTGAGAAGGGTCATACAGAGTTCTAATGTAACCAACTTTAACTATCATTAACATGTATTATGGCTATGTATTTCTTTCATAAATCTATTGTTTTGAGCATTATATACATTCATAATATATAACAGAATCCTTGATTGGTGATTGGTTGATTGATATTCAGTGATAACTATTACATGTGTATTCTGCAAAGTCAAATTATCTATATTGCCAAATAAATTATCTGAAATTCCATTGTATTGCATTGGTATTATTGAATTGTGATTGTTGTACTAGCTCACTAAACATAATGTTTGTTAACCTTCAGTACATCAGTGTTACGGAATCATCGATATCGAAGAGATGCTAGGACACTAGAAGAGGAGGAAGAAATGTGGTTTGATGAAGACGATGAAACAGAGGACTTAGATTCCATGGTTCCTGTTTCTGATGTATTAAGATCTAGCTTAGATGCAGATTTTGACCAAATAAACAGATATATAGGCAATAGAAAAGGTAATGTCAGTATCACCTTTCAAAATAAACAGATATATAGGCAATAGAAAAGGTAATGTCAGTATCACCTTACCAAATAAACAGATATATAGGCAATAGAAAAGGTAATGTCAGTATCACCTTACCAAATAAACAGATATATAGGCAATAGAAAAGGTAATGTCAGTATCACCTTACCAAATAAACAGATATATAGGCAATAGAAAAGGTAATGTCAGTATCACCTTACCAAATAAACAGATATATAGGCAATAGAAAAGGTAATGTCAGTATCACCTTACCAAATAAACAGATATATAGGCAATAGAAAAGGTAATGTCAGTATCACCTTACCAAATAAACAGATATATAGGCAATAGAAAAGGTAATGTCAGTATCACCTTACCAAATAAACAGATATATAGGCAATAGAAAAGGTAATGTCAGTATCACCTTACAAAATAAACAGATATATAGGCAATAGAAAAGGTAATGTCAGTATCACCTTACCAAATAAACAGATATATAGGCGAACCGTTAAAAGTTCAGAACATATCCCTATAATGCTAATATAAAAAAAAATCTTAAATTAAATCAATTTACCTACCTACCTACCTACCTTACCCAACTTACCTAACTTACATAAATTGACAGTAAGGAAAATCTTATTCTAACGCCCATGTTCTTGAAACATGAAAACTGGAATGGAAGCTGTGATGTAGAAAAGTACATAATCTTCAATATGGAAGAGATCAACAAAATGTTCCACCCAACAATATGGCAGTAAATCAAAATTAAAAATGTATTCCGTTTGTACAATCTTTTCTATGTGATTTATATAAAAAAGAAATACACTAATCTATACAAATCACTATATTTAACAAAAAAAATATTTTGAGCTTCTTTCTCCTTTTACCATGAAATTAACTGATTTCCTATTTAAATTTGGAGGGAAAATGTTTGTTCAACCCTTTTAATGATAATTTTAATTGATCATAATGTTAATCTATACCAGCTGATTAAAATATAGATCCTGAGTCATCCTTTATAATGATCTGACAAATGACAACGCTCCATTCTACTTTCTTTTTTTAAAGACCTTTTGGGATCCTCTGGTTTTGTTGTAATGATCCACACCTTCAAAAATTTGCAGGCAGAAATTTCATTGGCTGATGTAATTATGACCAGATCAGAAAGTGTTAAAGCCTTGGCATTGGATCTGTATTTAAATAAGATTGGATGATATGAATATGTGGTTGTGCCAGTAGATATTTTACGGTCAATTAAGGCCTCTCAAGAGAATACATGTTAAATATTTTTCAGTTAATAAAGACCAGTCGAGAGAATCACCACCAAGGTTATTTAATAACAGATCAACATGTATAAACATTAACCTCAGAAACAACAGTCCAAACACGAGTCCAGTTGGTAGTCCTGCTACATCACCGACTGGTAGTCCTACGATACCATGTCCTACACCAAACACATCACCTATTACACCTTCAGAAAAGGCATTAGCTGCCAAAAGGGTGAGTTATGATCTAAGAAACAAATGCACATAAAAAAAGAGCATCAAATGACAAACGTGAAAAACAATTTAATAGCAGAAAAGGCACTAGTTGTGAATGGTTTGATTTAAAACTTCAATGAAACGTCAGAAAGAATGATAAGGAAAGAACATTGTTGAATCAAAATTATTCCAGGCAAAAATATATGTTAAAAACACATAATATAAAAATAGCTTTTATTGCTGTTCATCATCTGACAGTGAGCTAAAAGACCTGGACTTCTCAGCAAGTTCAACATACATTAAGACAATTACAGCACAGTGTCAATGTTGCAATATTACAGAGTTTAGCTTTGAATGTATATTCTTGGTATTTCACAAATCAAGATTAAAAGGGGTGGCTTGTGACATTTTGGTGTGTTTTTCTTAAGTCAGGAACCACATCAATAATTGTCTTTCATTATATCTTAAAATTAAATGTCCTGGAGGGATGGTAGGATTTTGATAGCCTCTTCTGAATTTAAGAAAACTTTGTGGATTTGTGGCATAGATATTTTGTCTATTGATGACAACTGTTTGAACTGTAGATTTCTTTTGTTTCTTTGTTGTTGTTTTGTAGCTGTCTTTTTTATGTAAACCCCTACATCTCTTTTAAAAAATTTTGGCACTCCGAATTAATAATGGGGGACAGAAATTTGTAAAAAAAAAAAACATGAATGCTGTTTGAAGAAGTATAACCATTAGGTATTTCTCTCATGAACAGCCCTTTATAATGCTAAAAAATGGCTGGATATAATACTTGCATATTTTGTATTAATGAAATTAAAATCTTGCTTGGATATTGTAGTATTTTATTGAAGAAGAGTTGCAGACTAATAAAAAATTAATAGTTAGATTGGATAAATGTACATGAAACAGTATCTCAAAGTGACTAAAGTTGTCAATGTTATTACTAATAAATGAAATTCTCTGAAGAGCTTAGTCACAAACTCATTGTCCTCAATTTAAATTATTTATTTTGTGTCAACAGGCAGGTTTAGTAGGACTAGTGGACTATCCTGATGAGGACTCTGATGAAGAAGAAGAGGATTCAGAAACTCCAACAGCTAAACGTCCACGACTGGCAACGTAGTGATATAACATAGTGATAGAAAGACTTCCACGACTTAGCTAGCCGAGACTGTGTCTCTGAGAATGGTGCTAGATTACCTGTGATTTAAGGGTCCAGAGAAAAGCCCCCGAATGATGGCTGTGCCAATAAAGGACTGCCTTTGAAGTGACGTCTGACCCTTGATGGGTAAACGGCTGGGATCATCATTTCATGTTTTATCAGAATGAAGTTTAATATCTGATCTCAATACTTTCATTATCATATTACTCTCCGGTAACTAGCTTATGAGGATGTTAACTCAATACGGCCCTCATAAGTAGTGGACCACTTCTTTTTCAGTTGTCAATGGAATAAGAATGAATTGGAAAGAATAGATTAAAAATCAAAAAATATCTTCCCCTTTATGGGTAAATTAAGATAAGTGATTAGTATGGCCTCTCGCTGTAATTATTTATGTATTTATTTATTATATCATTCAGTTGATATCCGTCCTATTTTAAGAGTTCTCTTATTTCACATTATGCCAAAATTGCTACCATGAATTAATTCTTCGTATCAAACTCAAAACTTATCATTGCATTTGTACAATTATTAGCATTTAAGTGTTTCTGTAAACCATGTTTCATTTATATGTACAAAGCACACATTAAGCAAAGTATTGTAAAGGTTGAGTAACACCCAATAGGAGAAATTTGACATGTACTTGCGTTCTGAAATGAGAGTAAGACCAAAAGTATTTAATTTATGTACCGTACATGAATAATTGTTTAAGTCCCCTTAAAGTAATTAATTACAATTGGGTTAATATTGTACTAAAATACTTAAAATGGCTCTGATCATATTTTTTTATGACTTCATTCTGAAATGGCATACTTGGACCATTGAAGGATATAATTTGTCAAACGTAGGAAAATCCCTTCATAGATCTGAAAAATTATCTACTTCTTTGTGCATGTTATATTTTTGAAGTTGTAAGAATTTTAAAGTATTTTTGTTTAAATGCTGATATCATTTTACAAATGTTCATGACAGTGTCACACTATTGCAAATATTCTGACCATAAAAGAAAGTATTATGTCATATTCTACATGCAAATTTTTTTTTAAAACATAACATATCCGTGTTGAAAACAGATTATTTTTATGCCACACCTACGATAGTAGTATGGCATTATGTTTTCTGGTCTGTGCATCCGTTCGTTCGTCCATCTGTCCGTTCGTCCGTCTGTCCCGCTTCAGGTTAAAGATTTTGGTCAAGGTAGTTTTTGATGAAGTTGAAGTCCAATCCACTTGAAACTTAGTACACATGTTCCCTATGATATGATCTAGACCCCAATTTCACGGTCCACTGAACATAGAAAATGATAGTGCGAGTGTTGAATCCGTGTACTATGGACTCCTTCTTGTTTTCCTATTATATAATGTTAAGTAAGGTCTCTGTAATTTAAAATTCTTTTTAGACTGAAATTTCCTAGACTAAATTTAGAGATAAAATAAAGAACAAAAATAATTCTAGCAAAACTCTACTAGTTACAACTTGTAGATATCAAGAGAGAAATGCAGAACTCTTCTTTAGGGAGATAATTGTAGCAATCTGAATGAAAACATGTGTTCAAACCTATAAATATGTACTGATATGTTTCATGATGATCTGTAGACAAACTTCAGTATATTGATTGCAGAGATAATACTGTTTGATTATCTGTGGATGTTTTGGGTGTGTTGTATTTCTTTCTATTGTCAGTATATGTTTCCATGTTTTATTAAAAAAGGTATTGCCAACTTTCCCTTTTTAAGCAGAGTCAATTTTGAGAAGTTAAAGCGATATTCCTGGAATTTTAGTATTGAAGAGTCTCTAAAATACACACAAAATACTTTAAAATATCTATATATGATCCTATTCAGCCCTATGCATTGGTGGTATAATTTTGATAGTAAAGATGTTAAAATTTTCATATGAATGTAAAATGTTTTGAAACCAAGAATCAATTTGTATCTGAAATACAATACAAAACTTTATATTTGATAGAATTTTGATTTAATTGAATGTCTTTCCTATTTATTTTTAGAAAGTAATGCATTTTAATCTCCTGGAAGCAGTTAGTCCAATAAAGAAATTAAAACTGAAATGTGAATTTTACTTTTAAGTTTCAAGAACTTTTATGGGAAAGCTCTGCTTGTGACGTGAATACATGGGAAATTGGTTCTATTATAGACCATCTAGTAGACTTTTCACTGTTAATTGGCAAATATTCAGATAAGCATGGAATATTCTGACACTATTTTGTCTATAAAATATTATTTTACAGTTAGAGAAAAGTTATTTTAATTTCATACTTGACTTTATAATGAAGGATAGTGAAATGAAGTAGCATAGATGTGCTTCAGTTTTATGTCAGGTTATTTTTCTATGAAAGTTGTTGCTGAGCTAGAAGGTATTAAAATCATGAAAATTTAAGAAATTTTTTTTGTAATTTGATTGTTGACTTAACTTTTATTAAGTGTTAAAAGAATGAATAAGCTACAGGGGAAAAAATTGAGATCACTAATACTCCTACAACACACTGAAAGGGTAACAGTATTAATGTTATAATTGTGGGACATTTTCTAGTGATAACTATTAACATCAATATTTTTACCAGTGGTTAATGTTTGAGTAAGGGTTGAATCTGGTTGTACAGTTATACCACTGCTTTATTGTAAACTAGTACTAGTTAAATGATTTGAAATTGCAGCTCTTTTCATAATGCTAGCAAGACAAAGGTTTGTTTGGTTTGCTTGCTTTGTTTGTATCAATGTTTGCTCAAGCATTGTAATTAAGATTGACATCTGAAAACAACATAAAAAGGCGGATTTAAACTTGTATACATTATATTTAAATTTGATTGGACATTATCAAATAATCAAATTTACCTATACACAGGTTTAACTCTGCCTACTTATATTGTTTTCAGATGTCAATCTTAATTACAATGCTTGAGCAAACATTGATACAAACAAAGCAAGCAAGTCAAACAAACCTTTGTCTTGCTAGCATTATGAAAAGAGCTGTAACATTTCTTAGTTAAGGTCGATTGGTAGCATGAGATATGAAAGGTTGTGAAATTCTCTTTACGCCATTTAGTAAATGATATACAAAAACAATTGACAATTTACAATTCAAGTCAAACATTTGAACAGAGAAGGTAAAATGTGGAATAAATTCAGATGCAATTTCATTTCAAAGTAAACCAGAAAACATTCCTGTATTGAAACTTCAAAAAAACAATGTTAATACTATTCAGCAGTTTACATTAACAACTGGCATCAGTGTTAATAATGAGTCTTCTTAAAGGTTAAACAAAACAGTTGTTAATTTGATGAAGAAACACCATAAAATTGTCAGTATCTAGTGCTGTATTCTGTCCATCTAATGTCAAGGTCAAACTAACTGGGATATTTCAAATAAGAAAGAATTGACTTTCAAAAGGAATTTTTCTATCCTAGACATTTCATCTACCCTATCTATAATGGTGTTTCAGTTTTACAGTTCTTAACACAAGTCACTGAATGATAGAAGAACTGAATTTGTTCATTATAGTAAACATATTCGATTTGAAGCCCTTAGTACTTACAAGTTTCAGTATTTGATTTGAATTAGTTCTGAACATCATGGGATTGTATTAACTCCCTCTCCCCCTAATTGGGATTATATCATCATTATTACTAAGTATTTAGTCTTTCTAAGTATAATAAGACAGTACTTAAACCCTCTGGCCAGTATTGAAATTTATTACACAAGATCTGAATACCGAGTATTTTTTAAAGAAAAAAAATGGCTACTGAACAAGTTTAATACTTGACTTTACTTAATTACAGATATCAATGGGAAGTATAAAGTATTTTAGTATTGAGAACACCATTGTAGAACTTCAGGCAGCATGAAAAGGAATTATTTTTGGCATGAAATGGTGCATGCTCTGTTTTATTGTACATAACCATACACATAAAGTCAGCATTTTATCAAATGAAATTTTTATTATAATGTAAAACATGTTGAATTATATGAAAAAACAAAAAAAATAAATGCAACATGAAACAGTTTTTGATTTATTTCTAGTTATTGCCTACAAAATATCATCGAGAGTTAGAAGAGAGATGTCATGAATTATTTCTTGTTACTGTAAATTCAGAAATTATTGCTATATGAAAATAAGATGTGGTATGATTGCATATGAGACAACTCTCTACCAGAGACCAATTGACATAAAAGTTAACTATAAGTCACTGTACAGCCTTTAACAATGATCAAAATCCATACCGTAAAGTCAGCTTTTAAAGGACCCGAAATGACAAATGTAAAACAATTCAAACAATAGAAAAACTAAGGATATAAGTACCCATCCATGACACGAAATCAGTACATGCACAGAAAAAAAAAACACAAAATTTTGATCAAGGATTTGCAATAATAAATGCACAACAATAATTTCTGATTTCCAGTATTGCTTTCAAAATATCATGGTGAATCCGGGAGATGTCATGATTTATTTTATGCCCATTGTAGAATATACAAGTTTTACAAAAGCAAAGAGAATGCTTTGATAAAATTTCATGAAATGTTAGATGTCACTCGTCTTTGTCTGCATTAAATAAATTCTGTCATAAGTTATCTAATAGGCCCATTTGATTATAAGACTAATGTGACCAAAAGGGAAAAAAAGGTACATTTCAATGAGAACAACATTACAATACACAGAAAAAAGGCATTGAATGATAGACCATGCATGTCTGTTCTTTTCATGAGGTTCCTCTTTTAGTCCTTAACCATATTGAATTTTTTTGCAGAGTTGCATCATAGTCAAATTATTGTATGATGAATGCTGTCGAGGTCTTAAACAGTATCTTGATGATGTCCCATAGGATAAAGATTCAATTTATTTTGAGAACACTGGGTCAAAGATCACACAACAATTATAAGACTAAAATTGGGACAGAAATGTCTTTTGAAGCAAGTCCAACATTCACTAAACTTGCTGTGAAAATGCCCCTTGGAAAGAACAAGACCCCTACTGATTTTGGGGTCTGTAGTTTAAGGGTCAAGTTCACCTATAAATCTGAAGTTTTGGGAAAGTTTTCAAAGAATATGTTCTGAGCCATGAATCGAAGATTTAGAAATCTGGTTGACCATGCGGATTGGTTTGGAAAAGATTCCTATTGATTTTTGGGTGAAAGTGCAGAAGAAATTGATAGACTGAAGTTTTGGCAAATACATAGTTTCCGGACGATGTCTCGAATGGTATGTACAACCTTCACCACACTTAGCTTGAAAATGACCTTTGGAAAGAACAAAACAACTTGATTCTCCGGTCAATTGTCATGGTCATTTTGATCATGAATAGAATGAAATTATGGCACAAGTTTCCTTTCTCGATGATATTTTTTGAGACATAAATCATGGTATGATGGAGAAAGACCAACTCGGCACACATACACACACACACACAAGAAGGAAAACAGTTCGGCTTTAGGGGTAATTCATAGCACAGTGTAAGGATTTCATATTAGATGTATAAGTTTAATATTTCCCGCTTCCACTCACCACTTTCCCACCTTACGAGCAATATACCAACTTCACCTGCATATGTGATATACATTTCCCAACTCATTCGGTATTCAAGAGATTGCAGCTGCTAATCAGACCTTATAAATCATCACCAGTGTCTGGGCAGAAAGTTGATGAACAAGGGTTATGTCAAAGAACGTCTCGTTCTTTTTCTTTAAAAGTTCATCAGGAGATACCAAGACCTTGTTGATAAATATTCCGTATCAACTTCTCTAAATATACATGATGGTCTTGAAGTATAGATTCTAGGTACTGAAATTGTTTATCATCTTAATTACGTGTTAAAGTGTTCTTTTTACTTGTCTTTGTATATTTTTAACCTTTACTGTTTAGTCCATTTTTATGCCCCCGCCGTAGCAGAGGGGCATTAAGTTTTACCCTTGTCCGTCTACGTCCGTCCGTACGTCCCAAAGTTTGTTTCCGTTCTCTAACTTTAGTTTGCCTCAACCAAATGTTATGAAACTTATACAAAATGCTTATTACCACTAAATAAAGATCAGGTTTGAATTTTGGTGGCATCACTTTTACCATTCTAGAGTTATTCTCCTTTACAAATGGAAATATTGCTAAACTTTTTGTTTCTGTTCTCTAACTTAAGTTTGCCTCAACCAAATGTTATGAAACTTATACACAATGCTTATTACCACAATATACAGATCAAGTTTTGAATTTTGGTGCCGTCACTTTTACTGTTCTAGAGTTGTGCCCTTTACAAATGGAAAAATTGTTAAATTTTTCTTTTTTTTTTCTATATATCAAGTCATTTTTATACGACCGCAAATTTTTTTGCGGTCGTATATTGGTATGGCGTCGTCGTCCGAAGACACATTAGTTTTCGCACTCTAACTTTAGTTTAAGTGGATTGATCTCTATGAAATTTTACCATAAGGTTCAATACCACAAAAGGAAGGTTGGGATTGATTTTGGGGGTTATGGTACCAACAGTTAAGGAATTAGGGGCCAAAAAGGGGCCAAAAATAAGCATTTTTATACGACCGCAAAAAAATTTTTGTGGTCGTATATTGGTATGACGGCGTCGTCGTCGTCGTCGTCGTCATCGTCGTCGTCTGGCGTCGTCCGACGTCGTCCGAAGACACATTGGTTTTCGCACTCTAACTTTAGTTTAAGTGCATGGATCTCTATGAAATTTTACCACAAGGTTCAATACCACAAAAGGAAGGTTGGGATTGATTTTGGGGGTTATGGTACCAACAGTAAAGGAATTAGGGGCCAAAAATAAGCATTTTTGTAACTTCCAGACATAACTTGTGTGTTAGTGTATGGATCTCTCTGACATTGTACCACAAGGTTCCATATCACAAAAGGAATGCTGGGATTGATTTTGGGGGTAATTGCCTCAAAATTTTAGGAATTAGGGGCCAAAAAAGGGGCAAAAAACAAGCATTTTTCTAGTTTCATGACAATAACTTGTGTGTAAGTGTATGGATCTTTCTGAAATTGTACTACAAGGTTCCATATCACAAAGGGAAAGCTGGAATTGAGTTTGGGGGTAATTGCCGAAACGTTTAGGAATTGGGGGCCAAAAAGGGGCCAAAAATAAGCATTTTTTTAGTTTCCAGACAATTACTTGTGTTCAAGTGTATGGATCTCTCTGAAATTGTACTGCAAGGTACCATACCACAAAGGGAAAGCTGGAATTGATGATGGGGGTAATTGCCAAAAATTTTAGGAATTAGGGGCCAAAAAGGGGCAAAAAACAAGTATTTTTCTAGTTTCAGGACAATAACTTGTGTGTAAGTGTATGGATCTCTCTGAAATTGTACTGCAAGGTACCATACCACAAAGGGAAGGCTGGGATTGATGATGGGGGTAATTGCCTCAATATTTTAGGAATTTGGGGCCAAAAAGGGGCCAAAAAACAACTTTTTTTAGTTTCCAGACAATAACTTGTGTTCAAGTGTATGGATCTCTCTGAAATTGTACTGCAAGGTACCATACCACAAAGGGAAGGCTTGGATTGAGTTTGGAGGTGATGAATCATAAGGGGGTTCAAAAAATTTGGGGGGGGGATTTTTTTTTTTTTCCTTTTTTTTTCTTTTTTTCCTTTTTTTTTCTTTTAAAATTTTCCATTTTAAGTTGGTTATTTCTGATTTATATTTAAAAGCAAATAATAATGATATGGTAGGAGATACACACCAAACAGGATGTGTAAATTATTATATAAAAAGTATTGTGCAATAGCAAGAAATTTTCAATTGCACAGTATTGCACAATAGCAAGAAATCTTCAATTGCACAGTATTGCGCAATAGCAAGAAATCTTCAATTGCACAGTATTGCGCAATAGCAAGAAATATCCAATAGCACAATATTGCGCAATCGCAAGAAATTGTCAATTGTACAGTATGGCGCAATAGCAAGAAATATTTAATTGCACAGTATTGTGCAAAAGAAGATACTTTGTATAAATTGCTTATTTCTTGACCAATTTCAATGGGGTTTTATTCTTGAATTCTTGGGGTTCTTTAATATGCTGAATCTAACCGTGTATTTAGTTTTTGGATTTTGGGCCCTGTTTTTAAATTGGTCCACATTGAGGTCCAAAGGGTCCAAAATTAAACTTTGTTTGATTTCATCAAAAATTGAATTATTAGGGTTCTTTGATATGCCGAATCTAACTGTGTATTTAGATTCTTAATTTTTGGTTCCGTTTTCAAATTGGTCTACATTAAGGTCCAAAGGGTCCAAAATTAAACTTAGTTTGATTTTAACAAAAATTGAATTCTAAGGGTTCTTTGATATGCTGAATCTAAACATGTATTTAGATTTTTGATTATGGGCCCAGTTTTCAAGTTGGTCCAAATCTGGGTCCAAAATTAAACTTTGTTTGATTTCAACAAAAATTAAATATATGGGGTTCTTTGATATGCTGAATCTAACCATGTATTTAGATTTTTGATTTTTGGGCCCCGTTATCAACTTTGTCCACATTGAGGTCAAAAGGGTCCAAAATTAAACTTTGTTTGATTTCATCAAAAATTGAATTCTTGGGGTTCTTTGATATGCTGAATCTAACCATGTATTTAGATTTTGGATATTGGACCATAATAGGTGAATGTCCAATTTAAAATTTTTAAGTTCTTAGACTACATTCATTCTGTGTCAGAAATTTATGCTGTGTCAAATATTTAATCACAATCCAAATGCAAAGCTGTATCAAGCTTGAATGTTGTGTCCATACTTGCCCCAACTGTTCAGGGTTCGACCTCTGCGGTCGTATCAAGCTGCGCCCTGCGGAGCATTTTATTGTAACTTCCAGACATAACTTGTGTGTAAGTGTATGGATCTCTCTGACATTGTACCACAAGGTTCCATATCACAAAGGGAATGCTGGGATTGATTTTGGGGGTAATTGCCTCCAAATTTTAGGAATTAGGGGCCAAAAAAGGGGCAAAAAACAAGCATTTTTCTAGTTTCATGACAATAGCTTGTGTGTAAGTGTATGGATCTTTCTGA